CATAGTGTAACGACCCAACCGGTCGTTTTGAGCTTTTGCACTTTGCTCGCCAGTTCTCGGGCATGACTTGCCCCGTGTAGTGTATTATGACTTATGTAAATCGTTGGTTTTGATTTTCAGGGTGATCAGAATGAATTTGGAAGAAACAGTTTTCAGTTTAAAGCTTCAAATTTGAAAGATTTGACTTGTTAGTATATGATCTCGGATTGGAATTTTTATGATTTGGTTAGCTCCGTTAGGTGATTTGGGACTTAGGAGCGTGATCGGAATGTATTTTGGAGGTCCAGAGTAGATTTAGGCTTGAATTGGTGAAATTGAGTCTTTGGCGTTTTCCGGTTGATAGGTGAGATTTTGATATAGGGGTCGGAATGGAATTTCGAGAGTCGCAGTAGTTCCGTTGTGTCATTTGGGATGTGTTTGCAAAATATCAGGTCATTCAGACGCGGTTTGGTTGGATTTTTTATCAAAAGCGTAATTTGAAAGTTCTTGAAATTCTTAGGCTTGAATCCAATGTGTTTTGGTTGATTTGATGTTGTTTGAGGTATTTTAAAGATTGGTACAAGTTTGAATAAGGTTTTGGGATACGTTGGTGCCTTTGGTTGAGGTCTCGGGTGTCACACATCTTTTTTCTCCCACAAGCCTATTACGAGGTTGAGTTAGAAGAATTTTTCCAATTGAAGTGACGTTTTGAAAAAGGATTATTTATTATTTGGAGCCTCCACTTGGAATTGAGTTTTGGTGTTCCAAGTCACCTTTTATTCGAATCCCCTTTCAAAAGGAAGGTTTGACTCTTATTTATGGTCTCAAAAACAGAAGACTGAGTAAGGAATTCTGTTGACCGAGAGGAAGGTGTAAGGCACCCCTCGAGTCTCGTGGTTCTAGCACGGTTGCTTTTATTGACTAATGTTCGGCTTAAATCAATTTTTAGCTAGTATTGTATTTTACTGATTATGGCTTATTTATTATCGCTTAATTAATTATTATATATTATTAATTACGTTCACCAAGATGCGGAACGCACACAAGGATACTTCTTTGGAATTAAATGTTAAACCAAGATACGGAATGTACACATGGTTAAAATATAATTATTTTAAATTTAAAGGCATCGAGACGTGGGAATGCGCACATGACCCCTCTATTACTTAAGCATATCAATCCAAGATTCGGGTATGAACACATGGGCTAAACGCAATTTGTTAGTTAGAGAGTCAAGGAGCGGGAATGCACACATGACTATTTTTATTAATTGATATTAACCAAGGATCGTGCAAGAACACATGGTCAACTTTTGAAGACGCGCCTAAAGTTGCCTAGTAGGGATGGCAATTGGGGCAGGGCGGGGCAGGGATAACCTTAAATGGGGAGGGGCAGGGAAAGAATTTAATGGGGCAGGGCGGGGCAGGGCAGGGCAGGGCATATTTTTGAAAATTTTTAATAGGGCAGGGCAGGGCAGGGTACTGGACAGTAGGGAAAGCAAGGATAGCAGTTTCATCTATTACTTTAATGGTAATACCAGTACCCTGTGCAGTATACTTATGATAACCTTTAATGTGCTTAAGTATACTTATGGTAATACCATTATGATTGGACAAGCTGTTGAGTTATATGATGTCTGGTCCCACAATTTTAAAAAACATAAAATTATCCATAATTAAAATAGATTAATTGTGGAAATTACAAGTAGAAGGATTAAATGAATTTTCTGAAACTTAAGAAAGAGAATAAACATTTTATGGAACATTATTATTTGCATCTTCCATTAGAAAGAGAGAAAAATAACTTTTTTGAAACATGTATCTTTCCAAAACTCTTAAATGTGAAATGAACACAAATTACTTGACACAATACATCAATTATAGTAGTATGTTTTGCATTTTGAAAGTGTAAGCCAATTTGCATTTCTGAATATTATAATTTTTAATACATAATAACTTTTGAACATTTTATTAGTCCGCTTCAAATTATTTTGAATTTATTTTAATATTTGATATTTTTAAAAACGAACTAATAAGGACACTTCTCCATAATAGGAAAAAAAGCATTAATGCATAAACATAATATTATAAATTAGAAAAAAAATACAAAAAAGCCTAAACGGGGCGGGGCGGGGCAGGGCGAGGCGGGGCGGGGCGAGGCAGGGCAAAATTTGAAAAAATGCTAAATAGGGCAGGGCAGGGCGGGTCAAATATTAGCAGGTCAAGGCTTGCCCGCCCGCNATTCAACCAAATGATAAAACTAATTAAAATTGAATAGTTTATTTTGATAAGGAAAACAAACATTACAATACCAAACCTTAGGACCCAAATACGTTACTGTTACTATCACGTTTTCTTCATCATTTTTTAACTTCAATTTTTTCTGAAATTTTCCTTTTAGATTCTCACTCAACAATACAGACTAATAAAATTAACGATAAGAATTAACAACTAAGAGGAATCACGTGCCTAAAAAAAATAACAAATCCAAGCAAGGGCATATTAACACATATCATCTAAATGGAACAATAAATAGACAAAGCAAACAAGATAAAAAGATTGGACCTTGAAATGATTCCTTAATTGTAGGGGTGTCAAATGGGGCACGGCAGGTTAGGGCGGGGCGGGGCAAGCCTTGACCTGCTAATATTTTGACCCGCTCTGCCCTGCCCTATTTAGCATTTTTTCAAACTTTGCCCTGCCCCGCCCTGCCCCGCCCCATTTAGGCTTTTTTGTATTTTTTTTTCTAATTTGTAATATTATGTTTATGCATTAATGCTTTTTTCCCTATTATGGAGAAGTGTCCTTATTAGTTCGTTTTTAAGAATATCAAATATTAAAATAAATTCAAAATAATTTGAAGCGGACTAATAAAATGTTCAAAAGTTATTATGTGTTAAAATTATAATATTCAGAAATGCAAATTGGCTTACACTTTCAAAATGCAAAAAATACTACTATAATTGATGTATTGTGTCAAGTAATTTGTGTTCATTTCACATTTAAGAGTTTTGGAAAGATACATGTTTCAAAAAAGTTATTTTTCTCTCTTTCTAATGGAAGATGCAAATTATAATGTTCCATAAAATGTTTATTCTCTTTCTTAAGTTTCAGAAAATTCATTTAATCCTTCTACTTGTAATTTCCACAATTAATCTATTTTAATTATGGATAATTTTATGTTTTTTAAAATTGTGAGACCAGACATCATATAACTCAACAGCTTGTCCAATCATAATGGTATTACCATAAGTATACTTAAGCACATTAAAGGTTATCATAAGTATACTGCACATGGTACTGGTATTACCATTAAAGTAATAGATGAAACTGCTATCCTTGCTTTCCCTACTGTCCAGTACCCTGCCCTGCCCTGCCCTATTAAAAATTTTCAAAAATAATAATTTGCCCTGCCCTGCCCCGCCCTGCCCCATTAAATTCTTTCCCTGCCCCGCCCCATTTAAGGTTATCCCTGCCCCGCCCTGCCCCAATTGTCATCCCTACTTAATTGATTTGTTGTTTGAAGAATGACATACGCAATTGCAGCAACGAAAGTTCGAAAAGCGACAAAGCAATAACAAGAAGTAAGAGCCACGAACGGACCTCGATCGACACCTCGGACTCGTCAACTTTAAACGCCTCGAACGAACTCCATTTACAAACCAAAATCCCAGATTAAGAGATGAAGAAAACAAAAATGCATACTATAGTTGTGTGTACTTTTTGCTTCTGAAATTTGAGAAAAGCAGAACTTGAAAATTTAAAATACACTTCCTTTTTTTTTGTTTTTTTCTCTCAATGTCTCGTTTTTTTTTTTCAATTTTTTTTCCCTTTTACAAATCTCCTCCCTTTACTAAAGTATGTGTGTGCTATATATAGAATGCGTGTGTGTGTGACGGATGTGTGGAAGTGGTGTAAGATCGTGTATATGTTAGGTGTGGGATCGTGTGTGGGGGGTTGAAAGAATTGGGAAAATGGAGGTTAGGACCTGAGGTAGTGATTAGTTAATCTTTTGGTTTATTTTATTTTTTTCTTCTTCTTTTTGCTCTTTAAAAGATAAAATATAGAGATAAGAAAATTAACTACCTAATATTTAGACTAAAATAATATAGGCAAACTAAATATTTACACTATAATTAAATGACACCCAAAATATACTAAAGCTAAACTAACTTATTTATTATTATTCTAATTAAAAGAAATCATATATTTTTTGTAAATTTTCTTTTCTCTTTATAAATAGGAACAAAATTTATAATATAAGCATGTAAATATATTTTTTTTAGTTTTTTTTTAATTTTCTCAAATAAAACCAATGAAAAAATGAGATAAAAATTTAAAGTATCAAGATTAGACCTTAAAGAAATATTTACATTAAAATAGAATAGAATTTGCCTGTGGTCAAAAATTAGGTGTTCACACCGAGGGGCCTCGGGTGAGTTTGGGGTGGTTAAACGGATGTTGCAGATTTTGCTTTAGGTCTGTTGCAGACCTTTTGTTCTATGCGATCGCGTAAATAGGATTGCGATCGCGTAGACTTAGTTGAGGGCTGAGGCAGAGTTGCCTTACGCGATCGCGTGGAGTGGGTTGCTGTCACGACCCAAACTAAAGGGCCGCGACAGGCACCCGGTGCCTTACTCAACCGAGTACCAACGTAACATATCTTTCTTGTCATACTATCATGAGTAAATGAGCCAGAAAACCCGTCATGAAATAACAAGAATAAAACATAAGGGATTACTCAACATATGATGACCCAACATGATATACAAACTTATACATATGACATACGGGCCTATAAGGCTGACATGACCATTTGTAAACTCAAAACATAGGCCGACAAGGCCATACAAGTATCCATACACCTGACACCTGTCTACAAGCCTCTAAGAGTACATAAAATCATAAAGGTCGGGACAGGGCCCCGCCATACCAATCAATACCTATCCAAAGCATACTGACCAAATAGGCAACTCCGGAGCAAGTGGAGTGCACCAACACTTCCGCTGAGCTGATAGCCTACTTGGAGGAATGTCAACCTGTCTATCGGGACCTGCGGGCATGAAATGCAGCGTCCCCAGGCAAAAGGGACGTCAATACGAATAAAGTACCGAGTATGTAAGGCAGGAAAGCATAAACAAGAACAGTAACGTAAAGAGAGATAGAGGAGATACAACCTGTAACATCTGAGTGCCTCTGGGGGCTACTGACATGAAATGCATAATACATATATATACATAAGCTTTTAAAAACATACGCCTCTGTGGGCATCATCATCATCATATCATACCCGGCCTCAAAGAGGACTCAGTAAAAACGTACCCGGCCATCATAAGGCTCGGTAGAATCATAACCGACCACGTGGAGCTCGGTAAACCCAACTGATCAGTGGTTGCACAATAGGTGCCATACCCGGCCGACTATAGCGCGGCTCGGTAGAGTAAAGTAGATACATATATAATACATGCTGGACTCATGGAGTCACGTTCTAAACCTTTTGGAGTGACATAAGGTCATTGCACCATCGATTAACATTATGGACATCATACCATCAATATGAACTTCACTAGGATTCAAGGATCATATATACTTTTTTGGAATAATTTTGTAAGGAAAGAATAACATGGACAACCTTAGTTGCTAGGAGTAGATTCATTATGAAATAGCGTATCGTTTATGTTCGTTTCACTTTAGATCATGCCAAAAGAATGACGGAAAAGCCTTAACATACCTTATTGTCAACATATTTAGTCCAAAATCGAGCCACGGTCTGTTATGGGGATCAGTCGAAAGCAATGGATTAGACCACTCTTTTCACATACCAGCTTCCAATACAACACAGACCTTCCTACATAGGTATACTTGTTTATATTATCTATAATGATTTAAAGAGTTATCATAACATCCCGCTTCAAAGTATTGTTCATGGGCACAAAAATACTATTCATATCTAGAAAGAAAGGTTTTCTCATTCTAAACAAAATTATCCAATTACATTAGAAAATAAAGGTACTACAAGACTCACTTCTATACAGCATCAACTTCTATTTATCAAATCATAAAATGATGCATATTTGTCGATTCACTCGGTACAAACAACTACAATTCCATCTTAATAGCCATAGCCTGTGAAATTATCAAACCTGCACTACGGTGGAGGGAACTTATCTGCCTGATATACAAAACCTCACATGACCTCCTTAGTTTAATACTCTAGTTTGCCTCAAATTTATCCAAACCCAATAACTGAAGTTAGTTCAACTACTACAAAACAACTTTCTATTAATATATATATCCTATACTAGAGGTATTAGATCAAGAAAGATCAAAATTAATATGCCTCGCCGTTCTGTGATTTTCCTCATAAGTGTAATAGTAGTAATACATATCGGAAGCAAGGCTATAAATATATACAAATTCCCTCTTTGCCAACATAAAGAAAAGGTTAACAACATCATTTAAAATTGAATCAGTAGTATACCTTTTGCCTAGCAATTGAAAAGATTTTTCCAAACTTCCATCTTGAATCTTGTTATCAGAAACTAAAAAAATGAGGAAAACAACTGCGATATAGCTTTTCATATGTCCTAGTAATTTGACACCGGGCTTTATAATGTATGAGTCATTCTAAAGGACCATATGGAGCTGTCACGTACTGGTCTTATCTAAATATTTTAGATAATTATCAATTACCCATATCATTAAGAATTATTTTAAATTACTTAAAATTCTACTTATTTTTAAAGCACTTCATACATTATACTATCATGGTCATATACCACATAAAATAGATACACACTATTATTTTATTAAAATATCCATGTAAAAATACATACATTTTCTCAACTTATAAATTTCCTAATCTCATATAAAGAGGAAAAATTTACGTATGCTTAATTCTTAAAATGGTAAAAAGATAGCCTTCTTTTCTTGTGCGAAAATAATTTATATCTTTACAATAAAGAAAATTCTCATAAACTTTCTTATATTATGAGTATAATTTACCATATCTGAAAATAGTAATAATTGTAACTATTCAAAATTATACTTATAAAACTTTTACTAAAATACTCCACTTAAAAGAAAATACCGCACTAATATAATATCTAACGGTATCAAGGTTGGTAACTTACTGGTCTTATAATAACATAGTCACAAATCCTCTATAATCTCATGAATTGTCTTAATCCCTTCAAGCTCATATGAATTACTACGACTTATCCTAATATTAAAGTACGGGATGTAACAATTGCGATCGCGTAGGTCTGTGTGGTGTATCTTCGCGTTCGCGTGATCCCAGTTGTGATCGCATAGGTTTGAGTGCTAAGGCTTCGCGATCGCCTGTTGTTTTGTGCGATCGCGTAAGGTTAAATGGGGGAGTCAGCATTTTGTGCTTCGCGATCGCTGGCTTTATCCGCGATCGCAGTGAAGGAAGTTTAATAGCTGGGCAAAATGTTTTAAAAGCTCACTTCCGCGAATTTGAGGCTAAGTTCCTCCATTGTTGGTCGATTTTGAAGCTCTTTGGAGAGGATTGAAGAGGGATTCAAGGGGAATCACCTGAAGGTAAGATTTTTGAACTCAATACTCGATTCTTATGTGAGTTCTACCTAATTAATTATGGAATTTAAGCCTAGTATTGAGGAACTAGGGCTTGTAATTGGAGACCTAGAATTTGGGATTTGAGGGCCCATTTGGTTCGATTTTGATGTTCTTGATATCTATAAAATCGTGAGAGGATGAGGATTTTATTGATGTGATTTTTATCGGATTCCAAAACGTGGGCCCGGGGGGCCGGGTTCGAGCAATTTCGAGATTTTTGATGTAAATTGGAAATTTTCGAGTGGGCTTTGTTCATTTAGCATATTTTAATGGTTATGTACTGATTGTGGCTAGATTTGGAGTATCCGGAGGTCGAATCATGAGGGCAAAGACATCGCGGGCGAGAGCTTGGATCGGATCGAGGTGAGTAATGATTTTAAATGTTGTTTTGAGGGTATGAAACCCCGGATTACACAACGTACGACTATGTTGAGGTAACTCACACGCTAGATGACGAGCGTGGGGTAGAGCACCATTGGGGATTGTGACTTAGTCCATCCTGTATGACTATTTTACTGTGTATTTAATAGCTAACTGTTTGATATCATTATATATTTGGGCTAAACGCCGTATTTGGGCTTCGTGCCAACTGTTTGAACCCTTATGGGATTTTAAATGAAAATTTTCCTCATTGTTTAATTTCGTACTGGTGCTCAGTCATACTATACTTTTACTATTTTCAAAACTCAGCTATGTTATTCTGTTATAAACACATTAAATGATATTTTTCAAAGTATTTGAGCTGAGCTTCATATTTTACTGCGGCCCAAGGGGCTTATGAGATTCTGACAGAGTAAGACCGAGGGCCTGTATTGTGAGGATACTTTTGGGTCGGCGTGCACGCCGCAGCAGTGATACACTGATTATGATAATGAGGCCGAGGGCCTGAGATTTGTACGCCACAAGGTGGCTTGAGATATGATAATGAGGCCGAGGGCCTGAGATTTGTACGCTACGAGGTGGCTTGAGATTTGATATAAGGCCGAGAGCCTAATTATGATGCCACGAGATGGCTTGATTATGTGCTTGGGCCGTAAGGGGCCCCTCCCGGAGTCTGTACACCCCCAGTGAGCGCGGGTATCCTTTGTGATATGAGATATAGCCCGAGGGGCTCGTATTGTTTTGTGATATTGCCCGAGGGGCTGATTCTGTTGTTACTGTACGTGAGGGGCAGTTATTATGTGTTTACTTATTAGTTGTTTTCCTGTATATTGTTTAGCTGTTTTAGAGAGGTTTATGAGATTTCACTGCTTGATTGTATTTACTGATTTGTTATGCCTCTTGTAGCTTAATGTTGTTCTTTACGTGGCTTCATGTTACTCAGTCTTCATTTATTTTTATTACTCACTGAGTTGGAAGTGCTCACTTTACTCCCTGCACCTTGTGTGCAGATTCAGGTATTTCTGAACCCTGTAGCGGGTATTGGTTGCATAGAGGCAGAATCATCGGAGTTTAGCAAGGTAGTTTCCCGACGTTCGCGACACTGCTTTTCTCCCTCTCGATTTCATTAGACTGTATTTAGCACATTTTTGACTCTATTTGTATTCAGACCTTAGTAGATGCTCATGACTAGTGACACCCTGATGTCGGGCTGTGTTGGGTTTATTTTTCCGCAAATTATACTGTTAACTCCTTATTTTTGAGATTTTTTTTCATGTTTACGACTTAATACTTATTATTTTACTACTTAAGATTGGAATAGGAATGTGTCGGCTGGCCTTGTCTTCACGAGAGGCGCCATCACGACCGGGTCTGGGTTTAGGGTCGTGACAAGTTGGTATCAGAGCCTAGGTTACATAGGTCTCACGAGTCATGAGCAGGTTTAGTAGAGTCTTGCGGATCGGTACGGAAACGTCTGTATTTATCCTCGAGAGACTGCAGAACCTTTAGGAAAAACTCCACATTCTTGAATTCTTATCGTGCGTCCTTGATTCAGCTTGAAAAGTAACTCTTGAAATTCTTTCCGCGCGTTCGTATGCGCACATAAGCGCTCAGTATCAGATGTGCATCGATGGCTTGTGATTCCCTGATCGAGGGGCGAGATGTGATCTCTGTGTGTTTGACGTTGGGCCAGTCAGGAGGACTTGAGGCCGAATTTTTACCTATAGCTTGAGCACCGTGGTGCTGATTATGTGAGCTGTGTTTTTGAACTTATATATTTGGTAGTGCCCCTATTAGTAGAATTGATGGCTCGATAGTTATGTGATGAGTGTGATGTGACTGCGAGATGTATTCATATGATTTCGAAGCGATGAGAAGGGTCTGTTGGGGGATAGAAGAACTATTAGGTGCTTGATTTCCATCTTGATTCGAGGTATAGCCCCGAGTTATGGGTGTGTGAAGAACCTTTTCATGTTTCCTAGTTGGGAGTGAAGTAAATTTCATGTTGCGGTATGAGTTCAGACTCAGGAAGATCAAGCGACTGCGTAATGTTTATGACGGTAGAAGGTATACAAAAAATGTTAGTTTGAGGCAAAACAGGTGGGTTATCTCCTGCGGAGTGTCCTGAAGTTGTGTGACCCTTATGTTGTCTGTTAGAAGATACCATTTACAAGTGAAATATATGTGTGGAAATTTAAATTTGCGTCGCTTAAGAGATTGGGTTTAACTGTTATGAGAGTGAATGCGAGATTTGCGGAAGATTTAAAGTATCAGATGGTCTTTCTGTTTCACGAGCTTATGAAGGATTGAGTTTAATCTCACTATGGTACTATGACAGCAATAGAGTATATGCGTTATGAGTTATTGTGTGTGTTTTGATCTATGGCTTCGAGCCAAGTGGGGGAGTCTGCTAATGATTAGTTGGTTGCACGGTTATATGCTATGTCGGTTCTAGTTTGAGGCGTACGGGTGAATCGGTTATGGCTTACGGATATTGAGACCGAGGATGGCTCGAGTAAAGGGGAATTTTTACAAAGGTTACGTCATGCTTTATAAGGTGTATGAGAATCACGGAATGTCTTAAGTGACTATTGGTAAAGGGTGTGCGGTGCATGGAATAGGAAGTTGCTTGGTTGCATTAAGGTAGGGCTACACTCTGCGATGTCGGAGTGCTAATGAGGCACAAGTTGTTTGGTTCGGGCTAATTGCAGTTCGAGTAGAGTGAATGAATCTCGAGAATGGTTCTAATGGGTTCAAGATTCCACATATAATAATTGAAGATTTTCAAGTTGTACAATTGGCTAGAAACTGAGGTTGCACTGGAAGGTGTCAAGACTTGTGTCATTTCCATATCGATTATGGGATTCTATACATCAGTATTAGGAAGGTAATGCCTACAGCTTCGCAGTAAGTCCTTTCAAGGTGGGTATTTTGAATGTGGTGCTTTTGGGAACATTTAAAAGAGTATTCAGCGGGTTGTGAGCCTTAGACTGTGTGGTATTATGCTTGTGTCTCTTGTGGTGAGTCTAGGTTGAGGAATTGTGATGCTATAGCAAGAAGCAGTATCAGGTTAAAGGTAAATCAGAAGGAAACTCGGATATATGGGATAGTTTGGTAGAATGCCGAACCAAGTATGGCAAGGATACGATTAGTTCTTTGGATGTTTATGAGGTAATGAGCTTCTATATGTGTTTCACGGCAATGCTCTTAGGTTTTAGTGGCCTGCGTAGCTTGGTTGAGTTAGAAGGATTCAGTCATGTCAGCTTTGGTTTTGTCAAAAAGGGAGACAGAGAGTTCTTGATGACTCCTACTACGGTTAGAGATGCGTATTTTCTGCGAGTGTAAGAAGCATGGAATGTGTAGTGGTTTTCTTCTGAATGGGATCAATGGAAAGTTCTTGGTTGGTTGAGTACATAGTTGCTTGTGGCTCGGAAGGGATATGAAATTCTCATGTTATTTTAGGATGGTTTGGTATATGCGGTGTGTGTGGAGGATTGAGATTTGCGTGTGTAAGGTTACAGTTCAGTTATGAATGGAAGGTCATAAAATTCTTAGGCAACACGAGTAGTTTCAGATAATTAGAGAAATGAGCTTCAAATGATTAGGGAAATGAT